TTTTATTTTATTTTTTAATTTTGGTACCAGGGATCCAACTCAGGACCTTGCACTTGCGAGGCAGGCACAGTGCCACTGAGCTAAATTCCCAGCCCCAGAGTGGTCCTTTTAACACATAAGTCCTGTCACTTCTCTGCTTAAAACCCTTTAGGGCTGGGCCAGGGATTTACCTCAGTGGTTCAGCCACCTGCCTCGCAAGTGCAAGGTCTCGAGTTGGATCCCCAGTACCAAAAAAACAACAACAAAAAACCCTTTAGGGCTGTCTCTCTTCACTCAGTGTGAAGTGGCCAGTGACACCCTCAAGACCTGACCCCTTCCCTCTTGGACGTTGTCACACTCCCCTGTTCTCTGGCTCCCAACGCTCTGGCCACATGGTTTCTTGGTGACTAATGACTGTCCCTTGGACATGCCAGGCATATTTGTGTTGGCTGTCCCCTCTGCCTGGTTAGCACCTTATCAGAGATATCCCTGTCCACTATCCAAAATGCCCCGACCTCCATCCACCCTCCTCATCCTCCCTTAGTTTCCCTCTCAGCTTTTATACCAACACACACACACACACACACACACACACACACACACACTCCTACTTCTTTAGTGTCTGTCCCCCATGCCTGGAATGTAAGTATCAGGAGGACAAGAACTATGTTTTTGTTGTCCATGGTTCTAATCCTTGCACTTAGAAAAGTACCTGCTACCTGCTGGGCACTCAGTGTTTATTGAATGCCCAAATTCCTGTTTTACTGGGAGTGGCAGTCTGGTGGTGAAAGGGGAGCTTCGAGTCAGTCAGACCAGCCTGAGGTGGAAGGTCTGAAGTGCAGGAGTATTTTGTAAGCAAATGAGATGTTGGTCATGTCCACCATCACTAGGTTGGTGTTTTGGAAACATGCTCTCCAGGGAAACTGTCAGGGAAAAGTAAGTATTCATGTTAGAGCTTCCTGCTCCACTTTTTAATTCTTGGCTCTCATGGCTTGATTGGAGAAAGAGAATGCCAGGGATCAAGGGAAGGAGCAGCAGAAGGAACTCTGAACCATGCTTGCCTCTGTCTGGCCTTCATCTTGCTCCTCTGTTCTGACCATCTCCTTTCCACCTGTGGTTCTGGTAGAGGAAGAAGATTAAGAATCCAGAGAACAGATAAGAAAAAGAGGAAATGCTGATGGTCAGAAAAGCAAGTAGATCTCCTTTCTCTAATAGTTTACTGTGAAAAATTGCAAGCAGAGAGAGAAGTTGAATTACACAGTTGAAAAACACAGCAATATACCACCTCACAGTTGAAAAACACAGCAGTATACCGCCACCTGGACTCAACAGTCCATATTTTACTCTATTTGCTTTAGTTTATAGGAAATGAATACATATATTTTAACTGGTTAAAAATAGAAAAACTGAAATGAGTCACCGAAAGTTGAACTAAATCCTCAACTTAAAATACTGACTGAGCTGCAGGAGCATAGGAAGACATAGGAACCAGACAGGATGAGATGTTGGTGTAAATCTTCCTCATAAATTATAAGGGCACCTGGAGTGCTCTGGTTTCAACAGGCCACCCCATTGTGGCCATTTAGAAAGCCCAGGACTGTGAGTCAGATTGCAGATTGTTATGGCTTAAATAGTCTACCCAAAGACTCATGTACTGGGGACTCAATCCCCAATGCAGCAATGTTCAGAGATGGGCCTAGAGAAGTAACTGTATCATGAGGGAGCTAACCTCCTCAATGGATTCATCTTTTGATGATTTCATAGCTGAATAAGTTGTTGGGAGGTGAGACCCACTCAGAGGAGGATATCAGTGGGCCTTTGAAGGGTGTTTCCTGTCCCCACCTCCTTCTCTGTCTCTTTCCTTCTCATTCTGCTTCCTGACTGCCATGAGGTGAGCAGCTTTCCTCTACTGTGCCCTTATGCCATGATGTTTGTGCCTCACCACAGTCACAGAAACAATAGAGCCATCATGGCTAAGATCTCTGAAACTGTGAGCCAAAATAAACCTTAAGTTGTTTATGTCAGGGGACTGGGGATATAGCTCAGTTGCACAGTGCCCTGCCTGGCAAGCATGAGGTCCAGAGTTCAATCCCCAGTACAAAAAAAAAAAGTTGTGTATGTCAGGTACTTTGTCTCAGTGATGGAAAACTGACACACAAATCATGAAACATTGGCTTGATCTTGCTTTAGCCAACAAAAGATTCATTTGTCCCTCACTATTCACAGAAGATTGGTTTCAGGACTCCTTATGGATACCAAAAGCCATGGATGCTCAACTCCCTTATATAAAGTGGTGCAGTGTTTGTGTATAACCTATGTACCTCCTCTCATATACTTCAAATAATCTCTAGGTTATTTATAATATCTAATACAATATAAATGTTTATACATAGTTGTTATACTATACTATTTAGGCAATAATGACAAGAAAAACGTCTGTACATATTTAAAACAGATGCATTTTAGAAAATATTTTTGGTCAGAGGTTGGTTGAACCTATGAGTATAAATCTGTGGATGCTGACAACTGAGTGCACAATGAACATTAAGATCTTAAGGTTTCCATGTTACTATGTGCACAAGGGTTCAATATGGGAGCTCAGAGAGGATGGGTCAGGACCTGGAACAGCCCAGGACTTTCTCTCTCTGTTGCTCATCTCTAATTGCCTCTGCCCTTTGAATTCTCTGTTGTATGCTGACACCCAGCCTCCTCCAACATGCATATGAATCGAGGTCGCCAGCATGCTGAACCTCCTACATCTTTTGGAAAGCGTAGCCACTTTTTT